TTTCTAACGTGACTAACATTCACCTTGTTTGTTCCCGCCGTGTGTTTTTTTCCCCCCCTCAGGTGTCAAAGAACTTCAGTGAGGTTTTCCTGAAGCTGGTCCCGGGGGGCAAAGCTACGTTGGTGATGAAGAAGGGTGATGCTGAAGGCAGCCAGTCTCAAGATGAGGGGGAGGGAGGTGCAGACAGCGAGAGGGGCTCCGGTTCACACAGCAGCGTTCCTTCCGTGGACCAGTTCACCGGAGTCGGCATCAGGGTACGAGATCTAATTCATCTTATCATTGCAATGATAGCGATGTCACCGTGTAGCCCTAGTATGTGTCATGAGTAATACCCCATTCTCTTCACTCTAAATATACGCGTATCATTATCAAAGCTGTCATAACGGCGCAGAAGCATTCTGGTCATCTGTTGGAATATAAAAGCTGAAGCAGCCATCGGGTTAAAATAAGAAGTGTCTCTGCGTGTCTTCTCGGTTCTGACACATACGCCTCCCTTGTCGTGTGTAGGTGTCGTTCACAGGCAAGCAGGGCGAGATGAGAGAGATGCAGCAGCTTTCTGGAGGCCAGAAGTCTCTGGTGGCTCTGGCCTTGATATTCGCCATCCAAAAGTGTGACCCGGCTCCTTTCTACCTGTTTGACGAGATCGACCAGGCCCTCGATGCCCAGCACAGGAAGGCTGTCTCAGGTAAAAAAGAGCTAGTGGAGTAGAATGAATCTCATGAGTTAATGAGTAGCGAGACAATGTGAAACACCTGTACAGAGGCTGTAACGGTTCCGTATATTCCCACAGAACCGCCACTGTTCTTTGCATGCAGCCACACAGCTTTGACCTGATCTCTTGTCTCCTTGTTCCAGACATGATCGTGGAGCTAGCAGGCCACGCCCAGTTCATCACCACCACCTTCAGGCCTGAGCTGCTGGAGTCCGCTGACAAGTTCTACGGTGTCAAATTCAGAAACAAGGTGAGTCTGTTTTAATCTTTCTATGCGTTGGTTGCAACTGTGCCATGACATTTCTTTAAACTACATTTTGTTACCTCTGCAACCACGTTATTCCATTAGCTGCCATAATCTGTACCATGTTTCTGAGCATCAGATCCAACAGGAAGTTGCAGATTTGGTTGATATTACGGCTTTAATCATAGCTGTAAAATCCAAAAAGAGCAGGTTCACCTCTAATCTCTGCCAGTGTATCGTCATTGTTTTTTAAATATGAAATGAAAATCAATATAACGGAAAGTAACCCACCATGTTTCTTTCAGTCCGCTGTATTTCAGGTCGGTTTTCTGAGCCGTCTTAGTGAAAAGAAAATATTCCCTCTTGAGTTTTTGTGGTTTGATAACATAAATGATCACTGCTTAGTCACAGACGCTAACGTGGGGCATTGATTAGTCATTAACTGTGTGTGTGTGTGTGTGTGTGTGTGTGTGTGTGTGTGTGTGTGTGT